TTTCCTCTTAAATACATTGATGCCTTTTGCTTCACTCACAACTTATGGCAGTGAGTTCCACATTCCTCCGTGTAAAGACATTCCTCTCAAACTCTCTTTTAGATTAGCTACTGGCTATCTTATTTTTATGCCCCATTGTTTTGAACTCACTAACAGGTGAAAACAGCCTATTTATGTCCATCTTATTAAACCCTTTAATAATTTTAAACATACACTCTTGGCAAAAGCTATAGAGAGACAATAGTGGAGCTTAAATGGATTACATGTTTCATCTTAACTCAGGCCTTGATTTTTAACGTTTTTCAATGAAAAACATAATCCATTTAAGCTCAACTTTCACTATTTGTGATCTCATCAGAAATTCTCAATTCAATCATTATGCTTCATGTGTAGTGCTGTCAATGTGACAGGAGTCCTGATTCAGTAATTTTTTTCAATCGTTCTTTTGCAGTTCATAAGACTGCAATATGTGTCCCATGGCACTTACAATATTTTAATACAAAATCATTCTGCCATTAACTACAGTAATTCTACAAAATGTGTTTAAATAGAGTAGTGGAAGCTTCCTACCCGTGCTGAGAGAGCCTCACACAAGTGACAAGGGCTATCAATGTATTCAATTTACAATCTCCGAAGCTCATTTCAGTAAAGGTACTCTTGGCAAAATCAGCAACTCACGCCCTTTCTCACCTCTTTCAAGGTCCAAGTCTTCCTGTTAACTGCGCTTCCAGTCGTCTTTCCCTTCCTCCCCCCCTCAGTTCCCAGCCCCAGCTCGGGTGCCAAGCCAGGAACTTAAATCACTTTGGGATGTTCTGTCAACATGAAAGCTGCTACAGAACAAAATACAAATGGTTATCCATTTGTAACCATTTGTATTTTGTTGCAGTTCATTTTAAAATTTCGCTCTCTCCTCTTCAATCGTAAAGAAATTAAACACACAGTCCTGGAATCAATAAGCATATTAATTTTAAACCACAGATTCATTACAGTCATTCTACATCTGAATACGTAAGGAAGTCAAGATTTCCTGTACTTCAGGAAATCCTGAATTAAAGATCTAGCACTTTAATGAATGACGACCTTCTTCCATTGAAAACCAAATGTGCCATTAGAGCTGTGAGTCTGACAATGCCCACAAGACAGGGGTCTGGAGTAGTGCAGACAGCAGACATTTTCCTGAAATGGTTCATCTGTTTTACTTTCTTTTTTGAAAAAAACTTACAACATGACCTATGAATGGATGTATGGGAGATTCATTTGATTGCTAGTAAAATATGATTATTGTTCAGTGAGTGGGATAACCCACGAATGATTTAAAGTCTGTGCTAGACTGCAGGTCTCCAATCACATGCTCTCATTAACTCAGAACATTAAGAACTAATCGGATTTAAAAAATTAAATGGCGAAGGAATAAAAGTGCAGTATATTTCTTTATGGTTCGGTTCCTAATTGGCCTTTTGCTGTGATTTGTAGATTGAATATTTTATACTGTGAAGATTTGCTGAAATTAATTTAATTAAGTTTTCAAGGATTAGGATTGATGCTATCTCCATTGGTCAGCCGAGTCAAATGAGAACCCATCACCATGCTTAAGTGTATTCAAATCCAGACCGAGAGGTCCACATATGTATGCCACCCACGCATGGAAATTTCTCTGCATCTGGAATGAAAAGGGCACTGTCTATCTCGAAGAAAACAGCCTATTTATCTAATTGGCAACAGTATTAGTTGCAGGATGGGGTGTGCCTTGGGGCCTCCAGACTGTACGTTGGATCCTGTTGGGAGTTAAACCAGTTAAAACTACTTAGCCTGCCACTGTCTGACAACCGCTGCTTGTCCAGCTAGGACCAGTCTACCCATTAGGGCTTGGGCTTGCAGAGTTAAACAGAAGCTGAGTGGAAAGAATCTCTGCCCCCAGTGACTGGTCTGTCCTTTCCAAGTCCTGCCGATGAGACAGGATGACTGTGCTTTCCAGTGCCCTGGAATACTGCGCACCTGCCAGGAACCAGACGACCGAAAACATCATGTTGTCTCCAAGAAGCATGCTAAATGTTCAAAGAAGTTACTCTAAAATGTGATGAATAAGTGTATACATAATAATAATAATAATAATAATAATCCTTGCATTTGATATAGCGCTTTTCACGTCGGGAGGACGTCCCAAAGCGCTTCACAGAATAGACTGTAAAGTGAATTGACTGTATATTTGTGGGCGAACGCGGCAGCCAATTGCGCACAGCAATGTCCCACAAACAGTCGTAGATTGAAAATGATCAATTTATTATTGTTTTGTTTTGGAGGATTATTAGGCGTGTGGAGTAAGGAAACTTGCCCAAGGTTTCGCCCTGACCTGCCTGGAATTGAACTCAGGTCTCTCACTTGCAAAGCGAGTGCTCTAACCACTGAGCTACAGGACTCCACGTTTAAGAAAAAACTGGGCTTCCTTGAATATCTAGTGAATAAAGTAACCGTCCAGTGGAGCACTGACCGACACAGATTATCCTCTGGGGGAGGGGAAAAGGCAAGTGGGGTCTCCTTGGAGTTGAATTGGCTCCAAGGTGACATGTTTGCCAATGGAAAGTTGGAATCAATACAACCCTCTGTGGCGGTCTCCATAGTCTGATTCCTGAGCCAGGCAGTTGCACAGTATTCCAGGGCATTACAACAACAACAAAATTACATTTGTATAGCGACTTTCACGTTGGGAGGATATCCCAAGGCGCTGAACAGACAGAGTTACGGATCCGAGCTGAAGTTCGGGGTGGGGGAGGATGGAGGACTGGTGGGGGGGGGAAGTAGGGAGATCGAAAGCATGGTCGAGGAGGAGGGCCTTGAGGTGGGTCTTGAAGGTGGTGAGGGTGGGGGCGAGACGGAGGGATTGCAGGATGGAGTTCCAAAGGGTGGGTGCAGAGTGGCGGAAGGCCCGCCCGCCGATAGTGGGGCAAGCAAGGCGGGGACGTGAGCAGGCTGGAGCCCGCTGAGCGGAGGGAGCGAGCAGGGTGGTAGGGGGTTACGAGGTCGGAGGGAGCAAGACCGTGGAGGGCTTTGAAGGTGAGGACCAGGATCTTGAACTGTATCCTATGGTAATCCAGTGGAGTTCGGCAAGTATGGGGGTGATAGGGTCGTGGAGTCTAGTGCAGGAGAGGACACGGGCTGCAGAGTTCTCGATGATCTGCAACCTGTGGAGGGAGGAGTTGAGGAGGCCGACAAGCAGTGAGTTTTCATCGTCCAGCCTCGATGTAATGAAGGCGTGTATGAGGGTTTCGGCGGCCTGCGGTGTGAGACAGTGGCGGAGCCGGGCGACATTGCAGAGGTGGGAGAAGGCAGACCAGGTCATGGCGCAGATGTGGGGTAGAAAGGATAGTTGAGGGTCAAACAAGACCCCAAGGTACTGGACTGGCTTAGCAAGGTGGAGTGTTCTTCATGGATGGTGATGCTGTCAGCGTCTGAGGTGAGGAGGCGCTGACGGGAGCCAATCAGGAGAGCCTCGGTCTTGTTGACGTTCAACTGAAGAAAGTTAGCTCTCATCCAGGACTTGATGTCTGACAGACATTCTGTCAGGACAGCAGTGGTCCTGGAGTCCAGGGTGGAGGCAGAGAGGTACAGTTGGGTGTCATCCGCATACATGTGGTAGTTGACCCCATGTCTGCGGATGATGTCACCAAGAAGGAGCATATAGATATTGAAGAGGAGGGGACCAAGGGCAGAGCCCTGAGGAATGCCACATGAGACAGTCCGGGGGCTGGAGGAGAAGCCATTTGAGGAAATGAAGTGCAAGCAATGATGTACTGATGACAGCACAGTCAGCCTGGCTCATCGGCAACACTTGGAAGGGCAGATCAGTTACTTGGGGCAGGGTATCCTCCCACTCAGCTCCTGTTAACCGTGCAAGCCAAAGCCCTAAGTGGTAGGGTGGTCCCAGCTGGATAAGCAGCAGGAAAGCTTGCCAGTGCAATCAATGGCTATGGCGGACTTTTAGTTGGTTAGGCTCCAGCAGTACCCCAACGCACACTCTGGGGTCCCCAACCCTTGGCTCTTGCCAACCTGTGGCTAAAACTAGGGGTCATAGTCTCAAGATTAAGGGTCAGCCTTTTCAAACCGAGTTGAGGAAACATTTCTTCACTTAGAGGGTAGTGAATTTGTGGAAATCTCTACCTCAGAACATATTCAAGACTGAGGTTGATAGATTTCTAAAGTATAGAGGGATTAAAGGATATGGGGATAGGGCGGGTAAATGGAATTAGATTAGAGGATCAGCTATGATCTTATTAAATGGCGGGGCAGGCTCGAGGTGCCAAATGGCCTACTCCTGCTCCTACGTCTTATGGTCTAAAACATTCCGGAACCAGGTAAGCAGGATATGTCCCTCCAGGGAGAGAGTGCGCATTCCATTCCAACAATCAATCTCTGGGCTTTCTATGTGTAGGTGGGATGCATGGAAGTTTGGTTTGGGTACACTTAAACATGGTGATGGATTTCCGCATGTGTCAGATACCCGGCTGACCCCCCAAAAACCTCAGACTAGAATACAGCTTCAAGTCCGAGTCTGTGCTGAATGAGCTTCAGCAAACCTGGGTTGGGGAGGATTCTCAGTCCTGCTCATTATACAGTGACACCTACTGAAATGTACAGGAAGGTGACCTTGAACGAGGACAAGATGAGTCTCGGCTGCAGAGCCTCTGCAATTAAGTAGTCCGCAGACACTCATTGTTAAGACCAACTTGAACACAGTACTGGCAAATGAGGTTTTAAGGAACCAGGGGGTGATTCCACTCAGATAGGAGGGAGGGAAGTTGAAAGGAGAGAAATGGAAAAGGAAAATTTAAGTAGAAATTAGCAAACATTTTTTAAACAAAAACCAACCTGATCTGCTTTCATGTTGGTAGCTTGTTTTAATATCTGGTACATTGTTTCAGCACTTGTGCAGTTAAACTAATTTTTGATCCTGCGTGTTATACTTTCACCACTTGGTAAAATACAGTCAAAGCAGCGTCACTTACTCCCTCATGCGTTTCATCTTGGTCTGAGCCATGGTGCAGTTGAGATCGGTCGCTCCCTGGGGCATCGCTGGAGCCACAGCGGTGACAGTATCACTGTCTAAAATCAATGCAGAGACACACCGTGATGTTCACCTTTCTCATTTTGGCATCAATTTAATACAAGGACAATCAGAGAACTGCAATGAAATGCAGACAGTTCACCTTCAGCATTGCGGCCATTAATTAAAGATGTGTTCAGAGATGTCTGTTCACATCGAATGCGTGTATAAGCAAGCAGTTTCAACATTTGTAGCTACCCTAATAGGGAGCTGTACAACATGAGGAAGATTTAAAAAATAATAATATATACATTTGCTCTTTTTTTTCTTCTTGTGTCAGACTCCAGCCAGGAACCCTGACAAGCACCAAGCAATAGTAACCACAGCTCAAGTGGAGGACTCCAACATTCCCCATCTATCATATTTCCCCAGAACCTTCCCCCAACTCCCTAGCCATGGCAGCAACACACATCGTACCTGGGTTTGACTCTTTGGAAGAGCTCACATTGGGATACAGGAGGGCTCCTTGGGATAAAAGAGTCATCCCCTCCAGGGAGCTCCCCATGTATGTCTGAAATTCAGCTCTGAAGCGATCTCAGATTGGAGTGACATAAATGGGGGTCTCTGGAGCAGACTAGATGCACTTTATCCAATGCTTTTCCAGTGCAAAGTTGTTTCTCCATGAGTGTGTTTTCAACCTCCTACAGCTTTCAAAATGTTGTCTTGTGGGAACTTTTTTTTTAAAAAAAAGCAATGTTTCTCCTCCCCCTTCCACCAAAGGCTCCAAAAGCACCTACTTTCACTCATCACCCTCCCTGCAGCTATGAATGAACCTGTACATGTGTAGCTATCATTGCAAATCTAGAATTCCATGCCAAGAGGTACGACTAGTAGGGTAAGCCAGTAGCATCTTCCCCTTGTTACATTCTCAACAAACACTCTTTTATTTCAGCTCACAAGTCACAAATCAAAAACAATCCAACCAAAAATCCTCTACTCAGTGCGCCCTGCTTGCTGCTTTTCTACTTCCTGACCCCCTTCCATTAGTCCTCGTCTATTGGTTCTTATTGTCTTCATGAGTATCAAACACCCCGCACTAATTCAACATAGGTGCAAACCTGTACCTGGAGAAAAATACCCGCCACCTGAGTGAGTGGCTGTGAATGATGAGCATCAGGCCTGAGACTCAATTTGTCACCGTCTGGTTGGGAATCAAGATCATAATATCTTAAACTAAAGTGGTGCTAATCAATACATTTCCTCCATGATTTTTTCTATGTTTAATGAAGTCCTATCACATGAAGTGTCTTGTCCCCAAAGAAACCGTAAGAAACTAACAAAACCAATCATATCAAACACTGGTTGGTGGTTGGGAAGGTGTTTGTCATGACAATGCTGGAAATCTGAAACCCAGGTCGTATGAAAGAGAAGTCATTCAGCCTTGCTCCAGATCTGGCCAGACCTGACTCACAGTCAAATGATCTACTCATGCCGGAGCAAGCATGTTGGCTCTCCGGAGGTCACCCTGTTAACTGGAGCGTTCAGAAAAACAAGTCCTGAAGTCTGGAAATGCTGTGTGACAGGGGAACAGCACTCCATTTCAGAGCTCCAGGAATTTTGATGTTTCTTAGTAAGTGATTTTTCCAAAGGCGGCAGACTAACAGGGATGGACCGCGGTGATCAACTGGTCTCACAATCAAACAACCAGTGATCAGCCGGTCTCCTCAAGGTTTTCTTTCAGCAGTTGTTCAGCACAAACAGCCAATATGACTCCAAGTTACAACTTGCCGATCCAGAGTCTAGGAAATACAGTTGTTGTACATTAATATTTGTGCTCCAGAGATTGGATTGTTTCCAGAGACAAACTAATTCTGTGAAAGGGGTATTGCAAGGAAAGTAGAGGACTGAAATGTGACACTACCTTCTCTATTGCACCCCATTTTCAGACTGAGTAAATATCATTAAATATAAAAGGTACATTGGAGCTGCTTGTTGTTGCAGCACCACAGGAGTTAAAATTATCTAACTAGAAATACACCTTATTAAATCGAGAGAATGAATGAGTCATTTACTAAAATCACGATCTTCAAATGTCTACAATCTTGAATGAATAGCTTAAAATTTGACTGTGATAATATCAGTGACTATACTTAACAGTAATTATTTCTGAAGATCTGAGACGTTTTGACATGATAATGTACTGTAAAATAAACCGCAATCCCTTTATTTATGGCATTCAGCACATGAAGGCATTGGCATTTGCTTTGCAGTTAATTCTGCACCAAATTGGAAAAATCTGGCAACATAATGCAGGAAAACAACCAGAACGTCATCACTATATGTCAGAGAGTTTGTTGATGAATTCGTAAACTTTCATATTTTTCACTTTGTTTTTTTTCTGGTATAAGACATGCTCTTGACAACCTGTGCTTGAGTAATCTTTGGAATTAGGTAAGCAGCATGAGTCCCTCCGGGGAGAGATGGCACATTCCATTTCAAACACAGGAAATTCAATGTGTAGGTGGCAATACATGGAAATCTCCGCTTGGTTTGGATACTCTTAAGCATGGTGATGGTTTTCTGCATGTTTCAGACCATCTGGCTAACCACATAAAGGGAAGTTGAACTGAACAACTTTGTAAATTTCTTATAGGAAAAAAGGATTGGACAGACATTCCCATCAGAATGAACTTCTTCACACACTGCTGACACTGGCATTTGCCTGACTCAATTGATAACATTCAAATGTCTGAGTTAGAAGGTTGTTGTTTCAAGCATTTTTGCTCATAGAGTGACACTCCAATGCAATGATGGGGAGGGATGGATTGTCATAGGTGCCATCCTTCAAATGAGACATTAAATCAAGGTCCTGTCTGCCTGTTAAGGTGGACATTAAATAAAAGATCCCATTGTATTACTCAAAAAGCGAAGGGAGTTTCTCCTGGTGACCTAGTCAACAATCCTCCAGATAAAATTGGTCATTCACTACATGGCTATTTATGGGACATTACTGTTCAGAAATTGACTGCTGTGTTTGCCTACCTGACAATTTTTTGAGACTTATTAACATAATAGGAAGTCGCTATATTAAATGCAAGTTTTTTTTAAAATCATTATTATGCAGAAAACGCATCATCTGTTTCCTTATCCCTTCTGCCAAAACAATGCTGAGAGGATTTTGAAAATCAAATGAGAAAATAAAGACAGATTGTAGTCAAGCAGACAGTGCCACCGAACAAGTACAAAATAAATAAAAATTTAAAAACAACACATCTCACAGGAAACATGCAAAATCCTGGGGGAGGGAGAGGGCAAACATCCTTAGCAAATACCAAACAATTGTTTGTTTAAAAAAAAGTGAAATTATTAACATCCAGAATCTAATAAGTAAATCTATTTCCAATTCCAAGAAATGCCGCTGATGATTTTTTTGACACTCCATCCTAAACTTCAATTATGTACATTAAGCTATTTAAATGTGTTTCCTGAGGACATTAGTATTGTATTGGTATTTTTTACTTGTACTTTTCTAATCTGTACAACCATGGTACCAGACTTGGATCAACATCCTTCATTCCCCTTCTTCCACACAAGTGCATGGTCTTGTATTTTGGGTGAGTTGATGAGCTCATTGTAACTGGACCTGTATTACCTTCTTTAATTTGTCACAACAATACTGACTCCTCTGCAAATAGAATGAAATAATCTTGGACACGGCCGGATTAATCAATAAACCAGGTAAAGTATGCCTTAGGGCACGGAGGTCTGAGTGGCCTGGTTATGATTGACCCTTTTACCTCCTGCCTGCACCTCTCTTCCTGTCGCTTTATGCTATGAGGCAACAGGGTGAGCGACAGGAAGACATTGCTGTCACTCATTTGCCCTAACTCTCATCAGGTTAGTCGAGGCTATGCGGAGTGTTCGGGAAGAGTGGCGGAGCTGGAGTTATGACTCACTTGGTCTAACCACTTTGAGATACGACCGATGCCTCCAGCTCCAGCCCTCTTCCTGTCACTCACACGCTGCCTCATAGCATCATTCACCAAGCAGCCTCACCAGGTTGTACCTGGGATGAGGCAACGTGTAAGTGACGGTAAGAGGGGCGGAGCTGGAGGTATCAGTCACATCCCAAAGTGGTTAGGCCAGGTAAGAGGCAGAGTGGAGAGCAGGAGTTATGTCTTGCAGCAATAGAGCTTATCTTATTAGTGTTGCAAAAAGGTTTTGATGCACAGTGTTGATGGATTTGTACAGTTTCTGGATTTCATATCATATAATAAGTGAGGAAATAGCGAGAAATGCTAACGTATATGAAACAGAATCACTTGGTGGAATCTACATTTCCAAATGTGGCAGTTGTTCTTCATATGTTCTTAACACGATCAGTAACAGTTGGTAAAGGTGAATGCTCATTCTCAATCAACATCAACAACTCACTAGATCTACAATGATCCAGGATAGATTGAATGCACTCGCAATCCTTCTATGGGGCACGATTTGACAAGTACACAAGTTTTGATCATGTAGTTGAATGTTTGCAACTATGAAGTTAGTTTATTATAACAATAATAATCCTTGCATTGATATAGCACTTATCATCGTTGAGATGTCTCAAAGGGCTTCACAAAATATACTGTAAAGTGGATTAGCTATATATTTTGTGGGCAAAATGGGCAAGCAATTGCACACAGCAGTGTCCCACAAACAGTCGTGGATAGAGTGACCAAATTGTTATTTTTTTTTAAAGGGATTATAACCCCCGGAAAGTGAGCCGCCAACAACAGAAAGAATGCAATTTTAAGATGGCATTAACAGGAAGTCAGGGAGCATGGGTGGGGGGGGGGGGGGAAGGGCGCGGGGGCAGACCATGGGTGGAAACAATAAACTGTGACTGACATTTATTGTTTAAAAAGGTTTTGATGCATATTTTGCATGCATAATTCAAAGGGCCCCCGAATGTGATCTGGCCCTGATCTTGGGGCACATACAATGCATTCCAGAAAATGATTCCATTCAATGACTTGTTGGCATGTTTCGTGTCAAATGGACCTTATTAGCTAACCGTTAGTGATAGAAGGGGAAGATAGGTTCATCTCACCTAATGAATCGCTCTCTAGGACATCCTCCATACATCTTACCAGGGCTTCAACATCAGTGTCCTAAAATAGAAACACAGCAAGAGAATTCAGGCACAGCAGACCATCGATTACTGAGCGGCCTTCCATCCTCTCTGCTCAACAGTGTCCATTTCAAATGTCATCACATTAGCAGCGATTGCTGATCGATGGGTATTTGCAAAAGCCCTGGCAGATTTGAATACGTTAATGTTACAAAAATAGTCCCACCCTTATTGTCACTTGCACAGGCGTCAGCACTTTAAAAAAAACGTAATTAAACCAAAAATATCTATCTCATCACATTGAGTGGAAAATTGAGTCTCCTAATTATGACTTTAGTTTGATGACTGAAATGTTTGACTGCAAGTGTTATTTTGTACCACCGTAGACGTATATTAGCATGCAAAATGCTTTTTGAAAAAAACTACTTTCAGTGGGAGGGAAATATCAAAACTTAAATTTCATATATACTTGAATCTGAGTAAATACATGGGTAGTTGGTATATGCAATTCTATATCAAACAATCTATCGTTGTTGAAGAATATTAATGGTTATGGGAGAACGAGCTAGATAGTGCGATCAGATCAGGTGGAGAAAAACATGAAGGCAGACTTGATGGGCTGAATGAGGAGTTTGTGTACTGTAACATTTTATTATTTCAATGGATAAATCAACACTATTTGCCAGTCAACATTGGAGTGCGGCATTACTACAAACATGTTCAAGGGTGGGCAACATGGAAAAATATATTGCTGATGTTTCCTCGTCTTCTATAAAGCATTTTCCAGGGAAAAGGCAGGTAAGCAGTTATTAGTTTGTGCATTTAGAAAATTACAGGGTGACCAAAAAGTCATGATACCATTTTTAATAAGCCTAAAAGAAATGATGATAATTTTGTTTTTTTTGGATAATGGGGTAGTTATCACGACCAAGACCCTCCTGATTGGCACCCGTCAGCCCTCCACACCTCAGACGCTGACAGCAACACCATCCATGGTTGCACACTCCCTCACTGAGCTAGTTTGAAACCTTGGCATCTTGTTTTACCCTCAACTGTCCTTTATACCCCACATCCATGCCATGACTCACTCTGCCTTCCCCCACCTCCGCAACATTGCCTGTCTCCGCCACTGTCGAGACCCTCAAACACGCATTCCTCGCATCCAGGCTCGACTACGCAAAGTCCCTGCTTGTCGGCCTCCCCAACTCCTCCCTCCATAGGCTGCAGATCATCCAGAACTCTGCAGCCCGTGTCCTCTCCCGCACCAGGCTCCGTAACCCTAACACCCCCATCCTCACCCAACTCCACTGGCTTCCCATCACACAGAGGTTCATGATCCTGGTCCTGCTTCAAGTCCCCCGCCTTGCCAGCCCCACAATTGGCAGGCAGGCCTTCAGCCACTCTGCCCCCAGCCTCTGGAACTCCATCCCGCAATCCCTCCACCTCGCCCCTTCCCTTGTCTCCTTCAAGCCCTCCTCTTCATCCGTGCCTTCGATCACCCTCCTTCCCTCCCTGCCCTCCACCCTCCCCGATCCCGACCACCAGCTCAGGTTCGAAACACTGATTGTCAAGCGCCTTGGGACATCCTCCTGACGTGAAAGGCGCTATAAAAATGTAATTTTGTTGTTGCTGTGTGCTGCATGCACTGTGGAAAAATTAATTATATACAGAAGAGCCAGGCAATTTTGAAATGGCAACCCACAATCGAATGGTTTGGTTGACATTATGAATCATAAAAGGAAAACAAGGACGGCTTTGAACATTTTCTGGACCCTGAGCTCCACTGCAGCTTTACACCTCTGAAAATTTGTTATTTTAGACAACAAAGCACATACTTTTGACAAGATTTCCTTCCCTCTGGTCTTTTTGTCTCCCTCTTGTCTCAATATCTATTCTTACAGTAAAGGAAAAAATGTTACAGAGGGGAATCATCATTCCACACAGCCCATTATCTCCTGTGGCCTATGGGGTCCATCAACCCCGCACCACCCATGAAAACCTCCCGGGATTTGAAGGTGGGTAAGGGAGAAGGCAAGGCGGAGGGTTGAGGAAGAGAGTTTCAGAGTTTTGTGGCCTAGTGAGACCAGCTGGGGAGAACAGCGAGAAGGATAATGGAATAGTCCAGCTGGAAAGTGACGAAGGTGTGGATGAGGGTTTCAGCTGCGTCAGTTGTGAGGTACGGATGGAGGTGGGCAATGTGACGAAGGTGATAAAAAGTGGTCATGGTCAAGGAACGGATGTGGGGTAGATAGGAAAGCTGGGGATCGAACCTGATGCCGAAGTTGCGCACAGGTTCGGAGAGCAACTGTGCGCACAGCCCATCACCACACACACACAGCCCATCACCACACACAGCCCATCACCACACACAGCCCATCACCACACACACAGCCCATCACCACACACACAGCCCATCACCACACACACAGCCCATCACCACACACACAGCCCATCACCACACACACAGCCCATCACCACACAAGCAGCTCATCACCACACACACAGCCCATCACCACACAAGCAGCCCATCACCACACACAGCCCAATACCACACACACAGCCCATCACCACACACACAGCCCATCACCACACAAGCAGCCCATCACCACACACACAGCCCATCGCCACACAAGCAGGCCATCACCACACACAGCCCATCACCACACACACAGCCCATCACCACACACAGCTCATCATCATACACACAGCCCATCACTACACACGCACAGCCCATTGAATTACATTACAACATATAGCTAAGAACAGCCTATCGCATTGTAGTCCAACTCACTGCGCTCCCTGAAATCCCACACACACACTAAGTATCTTGCAGTGGGAAATCCCAATATAAACACAGAATAAACAGCCCGCCAGCATTCAGTGAGCAGTGTGTGGTGGACCCTACAGAGATGTAACAGTACTTCTTGCCTGTTCATATGTTTTGAATGTGGTGCACACTAATTCTTCCTCTGATTCTTCAATCTCTACATTTTCATCAGAACAGGACTCAAATCCATCTTCATAGTAATATTCTTCAGCTGCTGTAGGATCTTCAGGTATTTCTGAAAGAAAAGATTTAAAAGATACAAACCAGCTCAAATAAGCTTCAAATATATATTGGGAAACGTCTCTCCTTCTCCTTCCATCTCCTCCCCATTAGATTGGTAATCAATGTCATGCCAGGAGTTCTATCAAATGAATGACTCACATTTTGAGATGAACAAATGAGTTTCAACTCCATGCATCTTTGGCCTTCAAGCTCAAACCTGATCAATTCTGATTAAAGTGCTACTCCCCTGCTAGCTTTTCATGTCATTGAGACATCTCAAAACACTTCACAGGACATGAAGTTTAGTGACACAAAAGTCCCAAAACAGCCATGAAATGAGTGACCAAGTTTATCTGGGAGTGTTGGCCTGGACTCCAGGAAAAACTCCTTGTCTTTTTGAATAGAGCCATGGGATCTTTGCAAGTGAGAGACCTGAGTTCAATTCCAGGCACAGGGCGAAACCTTGGGCAAGTTTCCTTACTCCACACAGAGCCTAATAATAATCCCTCCAAAACCAAAAACAATAATAAATTGGTTATTTTCAATCTACGACTGTTTGTGGGACATTGCTGTGCGCAATTGGCTGCCGCGTTCGCCCACAAATATACAGTCAATTCACTTTGCAGTATATTCTGTGAAGCGCTTTGGGACGTCCTCCCGACGTGAAAAGCGCTATATCAAATGCAAGGATTATTATTATTATTATTATTATTATTATCTTGAACATCCTCTGAATAGGCAGACGGAATCTCGGTTTAACATATCATCCAAACGCCAGCACCTCCAACAATGCAGCTGAGCACTGATGTATAAGTCTGGACTGTGAGTTCAAAGCCCCGACCTATAAATGTGTTTTAGTGATACCTCCTATTCCTTTCTGTGCTACAATATAAATATGGTTTCATCTATAATTAAAACAATTTTTGATAGTTTAATTTAACTTAATCAATCCCTTGTGAATATTTGTCATTTTTTGCCCATGGCTATGGGTTCTTATTATTTGGCATAAATAGTTGTGTGAAGAAGAACTGCAGTAGGTCTTTATCCTCATCTTTTGTTACAATGCCTTGCCATTCCTCAACGCTCCTTACCCATTAGAGCTAAAGAGATGCAAACTGCCTTTTTCTTCTCTACTTTAGAATCATATTTGAATCATTAACTTTGCACTTTGCATGAACTGCGTGCATAACAATTGTGAATCTGATATCTGCTTCTTAGAAGGTTTTTAATAATCCTTCCAATGTGCACCTTATCACGTTGTCGTGATGCCTCAAAGTGCTTCAAGGACTTTACTGTGAAGTATTGTGACTGTGTATTTGAGGGTAAGCACAGCAGCCAATTTGCAGATAACACAGTATGTGTAGCTCCATCATGCTACATATACCTGTATTACTTCTGCATGGTTTTCCTTGAAATAGTTAAACTGAAAATTGTTCTTTTTGAAATATCCATGCCTGATAAGAATTATTTTCACTTATCTGCACGGAACCAAACTTTACATGGAAGATGGGGTGAATGAGCCATTTCAACTGACATTATATTCAATTCTATCATTAATTAATAACAGTATTCTTAGTGCCTAATTAATGCATATGCAGAACTGTACTTACAATGGTACACTAGCTTAGGATACCTTTTCCCATCCTGGCCCGCAGAAAGATACTTAGTTTTATGATCTTTCTTGCTATCAATGGATATTTTGGGAGTTGTGGGTGCGTGTTGGGATATAAGGCTGGAAAACATTGCTCAGATATGGTTCAGTCGGGTAATAGAGGTATAAGAAAATAAGGATCTAGACATTAATTTGCTGAAGTGTAATATAGCAGGTCAATGCAACTACATAGATATTTTAAAACTCCAATTAAATACGAAACTCCAAAGTAATTTATAACATTGAGTAATATGGGGGTGCATTTTTTTCTTCAAAGAAATCAATCTTATAGAATGTAAATAAGGTAGACTGTAGCTTGGCTGTATGAAGCAGAACTAAGGCCGAGGAGTTTATGGTAACATACTGTAAAAAGCACAGCGTTTTGGAAAACAATAACAATTTTCATTTACATATTTCCTTTCACACATGAAAATGTCTCAAAGTGTTTGACAGAGATTGAGGCAGAACCCAAGTTGCATGGGAAATGTTGGTGGTTGGCAGTGGTGGTGGTGGGGGGGTGGGGAGGGGAGGAGAATGGCCGATAGGTATTTTGAAGGGGTTTGAAATTGAGAGGGTAGGAGTGAGAAAAAGTGGCTGAAAGTTTTCTCACTGTTGAAGACGCTTGAAAGTCAGGATGAGAATTTTAAATCGATCTGCTGCGGATGGGGAGCCAGTGATGCCTGACAAGCATTGGGATGATGGGCTCACACAGTCTCATGCGAAAGAGAACACAGGCTATGGAAAGGAGAGGAAAAGGCACGCAAGAGGCATGGGGGGAGTAAAATAAAATAAAAACTATGAAAAGCAGACTCGGTCACATTAAGAAGAGTTCCTGGACATAGGTTAGATTACTACAGAAATGTAGCTCTCAGCCACATAATTATTCGGTTCAGCTTTCAATAATTGCAGTGATAGGGCCATTTTCTCTTGTTTGGGAGAAAACATTTGCATCAAATGATAGTGATTTATGGAATAAATTACAACCATGTCCTTAGTGGAGTTGTTCCTTAAATTACAGCTACTTCAATTAGAACCAAACTCTCCTGTGTATATATTGTAACCTTCAGTTTATTAAGAGAAGTCCAGGCATACTAGGTAATGAGCTCTGCTGCTGCTGCTACTGTTGAGAACATTTCTAGGTATGTTTCAAACTGGATTAATGATGCATCGATTTAATTACAAGATGCACTTGCAGTCTTAGTCCAAAAATGGTATAAAATTGTTTCTAATTAACACATCGGCCTGTTCTTAGATATGGAGATGTAAACATACATAGAAATGAGCAGTCAGAATATTTGAAACAGGGTTCAAGGTCTTTCAACTGAAGTGATTTGATGTGACCTCACCATTTACATTTTTAAATCCTTTACTTAACAGCTGCAAGGAATCTGATGGTTAAATTGCCTTTAAGAATGCCCACAAGAAAGTACTTCCCTGTTTTCTTCATTTGACAGCTACTTTTATTGGTTAAACTTATCTTCATTAGAAACATCTGACTGGAAAAGCAGTAGAAAATAATTAGGCTGCTCTGCTGGAATATTTCTCAAAAAACAATGGAGGAATTAAATGACCTTTTGTGAAAAGTAATTATCCTTAAGCCTTAGACAATGAAGCCTATTCAGTGCAAAGAATTGGCTTGAATTTTCAGAAGCCATTTGATAAGGTTCCACACATGAGATTTCTAAAGATAATAATAATAAATAATAATCCTTGCATTTGATTTAAGCACTTCACAAGATTCTGCTGTGAAGTGTAGTGACTGTGTATTTGTAGGCGAATGCAGCACCCAATTTGTGCGTAGCAATGTCCCACAACTAGCAATGAAGTGAGTGACTAATTTTACCTAGGGGATTTTTGGCTAGGACATTGGAAGAAACTCCCTTTTTTTTTCAATTGTACCAATGAATCTTTAACGTGCACCCAAATAGATAGCCAGGACCTCAGTTTAATTTCTCATACAAAGATCGATGTCTCCAGCACTGCAATGCAGTACACCACCAGCACTATGCTGGAAGGACAGACTGGACAACAACACCACCAAATTACATTTGTATAAGGCCTTTCACATAAGGAGGATGTCCCTGTGAGTTCAAAGTCTTGATGTGGGGCTTGAATGCACAGCTTTCTGACTCAAAGGCGAGAGCTACCAACTGAGCCAGGCTTGATTACCCTGGAGAGTTCAAGCAGTGTAAAGTCTTTCCCCAGGAGAGTGAGTGGCTAAGGTAGACTTCAGATGGCTGAGGAAGGAAAGCATTTGAGAGGCGGAATGGCCTCATCTCAGTCTATGCTATTTCTTTTGACCAATATCAATAAACAGTGCTGGTGGTGTTATTAAAATTGTAATATTTACAATCCTGATGTTCAGCCTTATTTATCAATTTTGAAACTGAATTCCTAATTTGAGTAAAATATAGCTGTAAGTGAATAATCCTATTCCAGCTCTAGCTTTCTTACAAAGCTTATCATATTTTATAACATCACAGATTACTTTTATCAGCAGGAATTGCCAGACTGACTAAAGCAATCTATGGAACAATAAAATCCAATGAATAACTTGCAGCTTCCCGCAGGCTTTCATAACTTGTGAACCAAGCGATGTGTCAAAGACACCAGTTTGAGCGAACGCTCCAACCAGACACGACAGCAACTAAAGTCCTTGTCACCAGTGTGAAGTACATGCTGGTTTTACTGCAGTTTGACTCACGGCAGATCACAAGGTCAATATTCATGTTGGGACTATATCATGAGAAATTCACTGCTGGAAAACTTGTCACACTCCAGGCTCAAATGAAAAGAATAAAAACACAACTGTCAAGAATGTATGCAAATTGTTACTGCTATTTGCATAGTGCACCAGAGGCCTAAGGTTGTGAAATCTGCATTCTCCAAGGAGAACAGTGGCCGGATCAATTTTGGCTTCCAAATATAAGATAAGATCAAAGCAGAAAATTGCTCACAATGCCCGAGGAGATGGGGGTTGGGGAGGGGGGGAAGGAGGAAGAAAAACAGACGTCCCAGAGAAGCCTTTCCTCTGTACTTAAAAATAATGCCTGGTTAACAAGGGATAAGAGAAAGGGATTTTGCGGGAAAACACTAGCTACCAAATAAATGGTAGAGTAACTTCCCTAATTGTGAGATAATTATTTTCAGTTTCACAGCCTAAAGGATTAATTTATTCTAGTGCTTTATTTAAATTACAAACTAATATTGTTAAAAATGCATTTCTGCATTTTTAACTTCAACCTGTCGCCTATAATGGCAGCTAAATGTATTAATTTCTTTCCATGTACTATCATTTGAAAATAACATTATCAGTGGTAAGAAAGAATTTGAAAATCTCGCACAGTATTACATAATTTAAA